CAGACCCACAGACACGCCCTTTTTATTATAAATAAAATAGATGGACCTTACTAAAAGAATAAAATGGTGAAGTTTTTGTGAGCATAAAGTTTATTATACAAAATTTGCAATTAAACTTGACTGAAATTTCCCTTTAACCTATGTTGATTATTATTCCTGATGCACCAATAAAATATTTGGTTGAAAAAAATTAAAAGAATTGTATGTGTGTGTGTGTATATGTATATATTGCTTTCTTTGTTTTGTAAATAGTAAAGGACACTGATATGTTTAAAAGATATTCAAAATAGTGAAATGGTTGGATCTTGTGGCGACGTAGTTAGGCAACACTGTTTGGTCTGGAATGATGCAAACCATTCACACTGGTCAATATGTTCTTGCCTATGATTGATATGAATCCAGACGACAAAACTTGCATTTACTCCACCTTACTCTTTGTCTGTGCTGAGGCCAAATATAACCCCATGACCTCGTTTTAATGTTCGACCTGCCCTGTACTAGAAAGCGCTCAGCATTATCATGTGTGCACCAGAAACAAGTGACCTGCACTCCATTGTCCTCCATCTCGGCCCCTTTCATCTGGAAATGAGCTTTCTGGTGTGTATGGGACATGTCATGGAAGAAACAGGCTTCCATGATGTGTTTTCTGTGGTATAGATGTACTAAACGCTGTTAATGCTATGCTCCAAGACAAAGCCGTTATTCGTGTTGTTCGTGGACCCTTCCTTGTTGGTGCTGTCTTGAATGCACTGCTAGAGTCTGACATATACCATTTGTCTTTGCCACAACTTCGTGTTGAGATGGAAACAGAGGCAGATGTACACAGAGGTTCCAATTCACCTATGGCATTCGATACACCCCATGGGGGCGTAGCACAGATGGAAGTTGACAGTGAAGAGGCAGTGGACAAGGAAGTGAAGCAACAGGATACACCTCCTTCACCTGATATTACTTCAACTAGGGGATTAACATGTGAAAGAGGAATGACCGAGTCACAGTGTGCTAGCTGGCTAATGTCCAAGTCAGCATGTGCTGAAATGAACAACGTGATACAAGAAGTTACAGGAACACAACAGCATACGAACGACGAACACATAGAAATGGGACCTACAAGATCATCAAAGGTCACTGAGGACATGATGTATATGTTTTCATACTTCTATGGAAGGAACCCATTTGCTGCAGACCCCACCCTCAGAAACAATGTGACTGGTGTTGTTGGTGATATAGCTGCAAATGCCCACAAGTCAAAGGAACCCGGCCTTCAAGTAATCAAAAGCAGAACTCATCCTGAGGAAAAAAAGATCAAGTTATGATACTTTGGGCAAAAACGTCAGTGAAAGTCGATGGGACCCCCGTATTGGTAGACCCACAGCTGCGTTTAGTGGCAGCAGCTAATGTGACTTATGAAGACAAGAAAGAGGTCTTCCAATACAAACTTTACAGCTTCCATTTTTGCTGTTTGATTCCCATGACCTCCTTCAGCAACCAAGCAAAGCATCACTAGCTGATGAAAGTTGTGAGTTTGTTCAAGATATCACCCCAAGTCAACCACCATCCAATGATATGTAGTTTGTGCTTGATAGAGGCTTCCTACTGTAGCAACTGCAGGCACCATGGAAATGTCGAAGCACTTTTCAGATCATCATTGACTCTTATGTCCACTATGTTTGTGAAAGTTATTCCAAGGCAGTTATCGTCTTTGATGGGTACACGTCCGGCCCTTCAACAAAGGATACAACCAATTTAAAATGAGGAAGGGAACTCCAAGGAACGGCAGTACACTTTGTGGCTGACATGATGTTTCAGTCCACAAAAGATCTTTTTCTGGCCAACAAGGAGAATAAACAGCGCTTTATTGATGCACCTGGTGACACTTTGCGAGCATCATCATGTAGTGTTATTCATGTCAAGGTTGAAGCTGATTTTCAGATCGTCATGGAAGCAAGGAATTATGCCAAAGACAACATCACAGCCATCTTTGGAGAGGACATAGATCTCCTAGTGCTGTTGGCACATCACGCTGACGTAGCTTCCAATGACATTATTTTCTTCTCAGGCAAACAAGGAAAAACCAAAAAGACTTGGATCATGAAACAGCTTGTCACTACTCTTGGAGATTGACGTCATCTGCTTCTATTCCTATATGCTTTCACGGGTTGTGATACGACCTCAAGGCCTTTAGGAATCGGGAAGGGTGCGACGTTCAAACAATTCCAGAAGAATACAGACTTCCAAACTCTTGCACGTGTCTCCAGGAGCTGCAATCTCTTGAACATGTGCAGTTAGCAGGTGTAAAAGCACTTGCCCTGCTGTACAATGAAAAATCGGAGGAGAGTTTAAATGAACTGTGCCACCCACTGTTCTGCTCAAAGGTGGCAGTTGTAACTACATTTATGCAGGTCCACACTCTTCTGCCGACTTCAGCGGCAACGAAAGTCCATAGCCTAAGACTATAGTTAAGTACAAGTGGAACAGTGGATGGGAAATGGTCTTGAGCCAACAGAATGTGACTGGAAGATCTAGAACATCATTGTTCCAGTCATGACTGACTTGCCCATAGCACCAGCACACTTACTGAAGATGATTCGATGCCTTTGCCGCAATGACTGTGAACAAAAGCGTTACAGCTGCAGAAAACAAGGACTTGAGTGTTCAACTGGGTTGTGGCGAATGGTATCAGCTGTGCCAGTTCTATCGAATGAGATGTACACTTTTGGACAGGTAGGATTTTTCAATGATTCACAGGTTGCTAGTACGCCCTGACCATGGACAAGGGCTACACAATACTTTCCACATTGAACTTTGTATTCCTAGTTCAAACAAGGATGTACCTCATTTTTCATTTGAAATTATCTTTTGAAGCTCTTTCAAACGAGGTCCTAAATGGTGGGGTTATACTTGTTGTAACGGCGTGCATGGTGACTGTTAACAAATGACATTATCAAAGTCAATATTACATAATCATAGATCAATAAATTTATAATATTATCGTTTAACTCTGTCTTTTCTTTGCTATTCAAAACTAGATTTGTCAAGATCTTTCCAATGAGATGCTACATGATGGTGTTTACAGTGGAAACTGAAAGTTGGTGGTTTTGTTTACCTATGACGTCATCAAACTCAATATTTAGAGATTATGCAAAGTCGCAGAAAGGTATAATTCCTATCAAAATTAGAGGGGGTTCATCAAAAATACAAAAGTTAGAGGGGTTCATCACGAATACAAAAGAATATACGAAAGTTATTTTTGAAATTTGTTTTGGATCATGGTACATTTTGGCAAAGGGTCACCAGCCTATTACTGTTAGATCTAGTTTTGAGTCATGATTTAAAGCTGATTACTAGCCAGTTAGACCTTAATGTCAGAGTCAGGGCCGGCGCCAGATTATTTTGCCCCCTAGGCAAGGCCAGCTACTTGCACCGCCCCCCCCCAAAAAAAATTGCCAACTTCAATTTTTAAGAACAGATGTTTTGTAGAAAAAATAAAAAGCACAAAACTTTTATTATATGTTTTTTCTTAAAACAACTAATTTGTATAAAACTGTGACCCTTAAAGGTCAGTACTGCGCCTTTCTGAGGTCTGCGCCCTAGGCGGCTGCCTAGTTGGCCTAATGGTTGCGCCGGCCCTGATCAGAGTATATTGAGTTTCATCCACCACGTGACAAACACAAGATGCTGGTTGGTAAAACGTTTTCTGTGAATTTATTAGTGCTTTATTGAATGCCGTATTTTAGCCATTATAAAATAGTTTGGAGACGTATGTATTCCACATATAAACTGTGATATTATGATTAGTTGTTACATAGTGCAGGTCTTGTCCGTAAGTGCTATGTGAATTTTTTTTTTGTTAGAGTGTAGAAAAAAAGATTATTGTACAATTTAATAACTCACTGAGCTACTTCTTCCATCATTTCAACACTATGTACGAAAAATATTTTATTATATGTAAATAATAGTACAGACATATAAAAATTCGATTATTTTTAAATTTATCACGATCACTATTTAAATGAACACTTTCTCCGACTTTGGCACGTCACGAGACGTTTGAACAAAATAATCTGAGAGAACCATCTATTAATAGAAATCTACATTACTACACGTTTTTAGTTACATATATATTTTCACCTGTGATTATATACAGATAGTGTTTTTAAAATCATTCTTATAACCTTCCAAACAAGAGTCTTTATAAATCCAATTTCAACCTCTTCCAAACAAGAGTCCTTATAAATCCAATTTCAACCTCTTCCAAACAAGAGTCCTTATACACGCTTTGGATTTTGAATTCGAAATGGATAAATTAGTAGGAATGTAAAAACAACAGGAAAAAATCACAAATATTAGATCTATTGGTTTTCAATGTTTTGCTAACTTTAGGCGCTTAAACTGTAATATTACAATATTTGAAAATTCTATTTCGGTTCCCTGAGAAACGACATTCAACTATAAAGCTATCACTTGGATGGACTCCTAAATGATCTCCACAAATATCGCTATTCTTAATCTGGCCAACTGAGTTTATCTAACATAAATGTTTGTTTTCCTTGTAACATTACTTAAATTAGTCTCTAATAATATTTAGGACTCTTAATTGTTTGTTTGTTTTGTAATTAAGCACAAAGCTACACAATGGGCTATCTGTGCTCTGCCCACCACGGGTATCGAAACCCGGATTCTAGCGTTGTAAGTCCGCAGACATACCGCTGTGCCACTGGGGGGCAGGACTCTTAATAATAAGGACTCTTGTTTGGAAGGTTTAAATGGAATTTATAAGGACTCTTGTTTGGAAGAGGTTGAAATGAGATTTATAAGGACTCTTGTTTGGAAGGTTGAAATGGGATTTATAAGGACTCTTGTTTGGAAGGTTGAAATGAGATTTATAAGGACTCTTGTTTGGAAGACGTTGAAATTGGATTTATAAGGACTCTTGTTTGGAAGAGGTTGAAATTGGATTTATAAAGACTCTTGTTTGGAAGGTTAAAATGGAATTTAATGTAGTGTTTCAGATTTATCTTTTATCCATCCCAAGACGTATAAGATGGTCGGTGATTTGTGGGGAACGAAAGATAGATCTGAAATGTTAGTTTACACGCGTCTGATTTTAAATCTGAAATGGACAAATCAAGAAGAGTGTGAGAGAAAAAAAAATGCAGTTTACGAGATTGTTATCACAAAATGAAGGCCACTTGTTACTAGATGTCGCTATGTGTCACCTCACATATTAGTAATACTGCAGTAAATACTGTTTTTTGGTTTCTTTTTTTCAAATAGTTAAATTTTTTTCTTAGCTACAGAATTTTTATTACCCAATACCAATTTCGGAGCTTTTAGAGAAACAGCTAAGCTGCTTGTTTGGATTAGTCTTAGCAACTGTTGGAGGACCTTTTGTTCTTCCAGTCACTTCATCATAAGCTGGAGGAGGAGAGATTCTTTCATATATTTCATAGTTCCAGCGACCTGTTTGCAAGAAGGCACTATCGGTCCCATAGTTTGATCTACTAGCACCATCTATTGGTAGGTTTACTTCTGAAACTTGACGACTGTTAGAAGTTTCGGAGTAGTCGTTGTTCGTATCTTGGGTATCCAACGTGTCTGATGACTGGTAGTTTGCTGTTTTAGTAGGAGTTGATGAAATTAAACTGTGATGGTTTTCCAAAAGCTGTAAAACATTGGTTTGCTCATTACTTGAAGGTGCCATTTCTTCTTCTGCTTGATGAATGTAATGAGAAAACGTAGTTAGAGTTGCATCAGAGGTAGAATGCTTACCACCTTGTGACAATATTTCAGAGTTATTTTCCACAGTATAAACCTCGGTTTCACTTGCAAGCACGATATTCTGTGTTACTGGACAGCAATAATTTTTTTGACTATTCCCGACATTTTTTCTGGCCACAGTAGTTGTATTTGAGACAGAAAGGTGGCTCTGCTCGTTTTCTGATAAGGCGGAATGAGAAATTGAACAGTTAAGTGCTGGGTCTGTCAAATAGCTGTGTTTGGAGTCTATTTTGTTGTCTTTCGGTTTTTGGTATCTTTCCGATACTGATGTTAGAAATGATTGGCTTTGTTCAGGCTTTCTGTAAGAAGAAGAAAAAAAAACAAAAGGAGAGGATAAAAATCAATAGATTATTCAATTTCAAATTGGTTTACTAAGGTAAATCGCAACAATAACGCCAAAATTAAATGTAATTTTTTAATGTAAAATTATTGAAGTCTTTATGGGGAGTAAAAACATCTCATTTTAAACTACTTGGCCTAAAGAAAGAAATTAGAAGCAATTTGATCTACTTTCTGTAAGCTTGGTTTTCAAAAATTAAAACGGTAAACTTCTTATGTATATATATCATAATGATAACTTAAATTCTACCCTGTAAAGGTAACTAATAGCTATTCAACTGTCATTATTTAACTACTTTAGGAAAGGTATAATAAACTCATCATTTTCAAGCCACCTTGTTAGTTGCTTTTCATCACATTAGGATAAACATTAAACAAGCCACAAATGTTTATTATTATTACATAAGCATACAAATTAGTTAATAGAAAAAAATTAAATACTTTACACACCCTAAAGTGTTTGGTAAACCTGTAAGTATGACAGTGCTAAGCCTTGTCGATAACTTTCGCACTTCTAATTCAGTCATATCTCTGGGGATGGACATCAGTAAATAATTTTGTCCATCTATATTCATTAGAGGTGCTGATGGAGAAACCTGTGCATCTCTGGTGGAATTATATAAAAGACTATCGTAGACAGGAATGTTCGATGTCACCTCTGCATTTAGGGTTAACTGGCTACAGGTGTTGTGGTAGTCTAAAGATGGAGCTGACGGACAAGGCACTTCAGGTAAAGCCTGCTGCTGCACGTTTGTTCTTCTTGACCTTTGGTTTCTATCATTAGTTACTCTGGAACCAGCGAAGTTCAAAATGGCACCTATTAAGATGAGGAATATACCCACGAGTGATACAAATAACCAAAGACAGTCCCACCGGTAGAGGGCCACAAATACACCACCATTGGTCAAGATACAAGCTAACATTGCTAAAACGTAGGATACTATCGTTTGAATGTTCCATGGAGCACCAGAGATTTGAACGTCACCTCTCCTTCGGCACTCTTCCCGTGCGTGCATTGACGTGGACATCCTCCTAATCATCTGAGAATAAAGAAAATATTAAAAAAAAAACGTATAAATGTAATACTTACCTGTTTCAACGAAGACTAATATGTAAACTACATATTAACCCCATGTTTTGTTTTGTTTTTGTAAAAAGAAAAAAAAAGACCATAAAATTAAGCTTCCTGATATCAGAAAATCTTCTTTATTACATCGAAACTCCGCTGATGTCAGAAATCTTGATAATAATACTTTGTCTGGATACGTGTAATGTAGCAATTTATTTTATTAGGAATGTCAGGCTTCTTATCAGTACAGTTATATGTGATAAAAAGCGACCGCATTTATCTCCGATATTTTGTCTATTATGGGTTTTAAATCAGAGGTGCGTAGAAATAGCGTTTGGGACCCATCTCTTGCTTTCGACAAATCACTGTCAACAATATATCGCTATATATCTGATTGGTTTGATACTGAAACACGTCACTTGTGAGTGGTTTCCTCTCGCCCACATTAATATTCATTGAAGGGGATTTAACTTTTTTGGGAGGCTACCGCCAACGCTTGGGCGTTTTCAGCCACACCACACAAGCTTTCTTTCGGGGTGATTTTAAGCGAAAACTTTTTTGTTGAATTGAGTTCTCCCTCCCTTTTCTTTTACTTCAACAGGCAACCTTATATATATATATAACTTGTAACAGTATCCAAGCAAGTCCACTGGTGATTCAGTGCTAAGTCCGTGTGCTTATAATGATAAAAATCGGGTTTCGATACCCGCAGCGAGCAGAAACAAAATAGCCAAGTGTGTATCTTTATCATTTTTGTGGGTGATTTCGCTTATCTTTAGGTCATTTTATCCCCTGGAAATATTTTCTCTCCCCACTCCATGTCGTCTTGCTCCTTACCTTTTTATTAGAATGCAAGTAAAACAGATAATATCTTTTTGTAACCCTATGGATTTATTGGGTCCAGACCTCCAGTCAAACGACGAGCCGTTGTCAACATGAAAACTTTTATAGACAACTTTGGAGTTGGAGAGGGAGAAAAATGGCTAGAATTAACATTTTTGTCCATTACATTCACGATAACTATGTTTCTTTTGTATCTGGTCAATCAGAAGAAATAGTTAAATAAACTCTGTGTTAAAAGTGTAACGTGTGTGAACTTGTTTCCAGGTCTCACAATAAATATGTTTTCTTGTTGTATCTGGTCAATCAGAAGAAATAGTTAAATAAACTTTGTGTTAAATGTGTAACGTGTGTGAACATGTTTCCAGGTCTCACAATAGATATGTTTTCTTGTTGTATATGGTCAATCAGAAGAAATAGTTAAATAAACTTTGTGTTAAAAGTGTAACGTGTGTGAACATGTTTCCAGGTCTCACAATAAATATGTTTTCTTGTTGTATCTGGTCAATCAGAAGAAATAGTTAAATAAACATTGTTTTAAATGTGTAAAGTGTGTGAGCATGTTTTTAGATCTAGTACACGCCGAAGTAATGTTTACACGTAAACTGTATATATATACATCAGGATATGTATTGCTTGCGAACACTAGACATGTGTCATCATGTACTTTTTTATTCCCTGTCAGAATGAGGAAAAAAAGATAAAATTATTTTCTTATCCGAACATACTTAAAACTTGGCATGACCTGGTGGTTAGGGCACTGGACTCACAATCTGAGGTTCGAAGTTCATGTTTCTTTGAGCTCCTGGGGCGTTATAATGTGACGGTGAATCCCACTAATCGTCTGTGAAGAGTACTCCAAGAGATGGTGGTGGGTATTGTTGACTAGATGTCTACCCTCTACTCTATCACTTCGACATTAGGGACTGCTGGCGCAGATAGCCCTCGAGTAACATTGCGCGAAATTCAACAAAAACAAACCGAACACGTGTTTCCGTTTACCAGTTGACTCCGTAATACCAGAAAAAAAACAACACAGTAATGCTAAACGACTTCAAAGTTACATAATAACCTTTCACCAAATGAAAGAAATCTAAGAACTTATGAGTAAAAGCACGTGAGAATATGTAATAATAGGTCAATCACACTGTATCTCCTGTATTCAGTCCCTTTCACCTAATACCAGGGCTCATTAGGTCATGTAGGATACGACAGAGACATTAATGGTCTAGACGTTATTTAATTAAGTCGTCAGTTTATATCAACTGTTATAGTGTGAACAAGATTAAGAAAATGAAATCTAATTATTTCTCCGAAAGGGGCCAAAGGCCGCCAGAAGGGGTCACCTGTTTTAACCACTCACACTACAGTAGTGTGTTGTCTGTCAGTCAGTAGACACTAAAAATGGCGTCACATAAGGAACGCTTAATGATGCAACTTGTACTGTCGTGACGTCAGTAAAACGTGCGCATGTCATGATTCACGAGAAGAATTATGCACTCTGTAAGCTACAACACAACATGACATATGAACTTCAAAGCAAGAAATAAAAATATTTGTAACTCCTAATTTTGGTTTTATTTACTTTTGAAACTACTCATGGTGACTAGAGCACAGATAGCCCTTTGTGTAGCTTAATAACAAACAACAACAGCAACTATTCTTGAAACAGAACACTTTCGAGGACCCTGCAGAAGTTTTATAATATAAGAACAACATAGGTTTACTATGTGCGTGTGTGTGTTTTAACATGTGCGATTGTCCATAATATTGTTTCTAGTGGGTAAATAATTTTCTAGTATTATTCATATCTATTTAATGAAGTTTCGGAAAGACCTCGTGCCACGTGACCATTCGTTACTCAAACATTACCATCGGTGTTAAAAAGTTGCAGTCTCTTCTACAAAGTACGTCATGGCACAAGATTTGCTTGAAACCAAGGAAACCGTATACTCTTACATACGGGGACTCAACATGGAGTTATACAAGTTCAAAGGTCTGTCACGTGTGGAATCATGGGTGAAAAAAAAAAGATGGCATGTACGCGTAATCTTCCCATTGAATTTTGTACAAGAACTAATTATTATTATCTACAGATGGTAAACTTTTAACTTTTCTCGACTCAGCCTAAGTTGAAACGTCTCCCTTGCGGCGATGAGTAGAAAGGTTTACTTGAAAAGTGGGAATAACTTAACTTTACACAATCTTTGAATAAGGTCGTTATTAATTTGTTATAAACGGGAACTGGCTTAATTTGATTCATTAAACTTAACAGACTTCAAAACTTGGAACAGTTGTCTTCATCCACATTTTTTATTTCATGACCAAAGATAAAAGCCACATTTTCGAAGTTAATGATTCTTTTCTTTACAACTAAGGCCTCCACTTCAGTTAGCATGATCAATCAGGGAAACAAAAGTAATTTGAAATATTTATTACCCTTCTTGCAGTGCTTTTTATCACATGGGGTAATTTACACTGTTGACAGTAATATACTTTGAGTGAGATTAATTAATTTGTTTAAGATAGTTTACACTGTTGACAGTAATATACTTTGAGTGAGATTAATTAATTTGTTTAAGATA